CCCCCCCCCCCCCCCGTTTTTGCTCAGAACAAACACCTTTGCTGCATTACGTGCATCCAAGACACGTGCATTTCAGCTGGGACACAGATCTTACAAAATGAGCTGTTCCACACTTAGAATAGCTTGGGCATGGAGCATTTGGGACATCTGTGACACAGTCTCATTCATCAAGCTCTCTCTGAAAGAGACATAGCTGGGACAGTGTGGTTCTCTGTATTCCTAAAACCAAATATTCAGTCGGACATCTAGATCCACAGATTCCACAGACTGCAGATGCAGACTCCCAGGACCAAATGCTCCCCCAAAATAACAAAAACCCTGTGCTGGAAAATGGCATGTCAGGAAGGCAGTTTCTATCTACCAGATCTGAGGTGAGGACATAGCACACAATGTAGTTTATTTTTTAAAAAGTATGGAAAAATAAAATTTATTAAAAAAAATATGCTAGAAGTCCAACATTTATCTATTCCTGACTGAGATTTAAAATCAGTGTTACACTTGGTTTTGCATCCTGAGTCAAAACTATTGCATAAACATGCATACAGCAGGTACAGAAACTATCATCCAGGCTCATAAACATAACACTGCAAGCTTTGATTGGCAAGTGATCTGAGTTGGCTCTACTGGAATCAAAAGGGAGTAAACTGCCTTAAATAACAAGGGCACTCCAAAGCAGCTTGAGATCAGCAGCAGGACTGTACTGTTTGATGCTGTAGTGTTGCTTGTGATCTTGTAACGTTTGGGTGTCTGGGGCTTTCAGTGTCTAGTTGTGGACTCGCAGTGTATGGTCCTGTAGCGTTTGGCCCCTGTAACATCCGTCTGCTGTATTTTTAGCAATAAGATCCTCTAACAAAGGGTGAGCTAAATATTTTCTAAAAAATTAAAAAATATACTTGATTAGACAACAAGGCCCCAATCCTGAACACACCTGCATATATGTATCCCTTTGAGGCTGAAATAAATTTTGCTTATAACTTTTTGCTCTTGCATATTCAGAATAGGAAGCCATAAATATAGTTACAAATAAGGAGCACTGTGCCCTACTGACAGCAGGGTAAAGGGAAGACAGTTCAAAGGTAGTTGAAGACTGGTTGCTGTTCTTTGGCTTTAGAACTACCTTCCCTGAGATGCTGCGAATTAGCATCTCTACTAGTCATACAAGTTACCACTGCCGTGTCCACTGTAACTTTCAATTTCACTGAAATGAAATAATAAACACTCGGGGATAATAAACTGTTAACAACCAGTTCCAAGCAAACAGCCACTTCCAAGGCAACCATGTCTCAGTGTTAATCATTTGATTTGGTGTGAAATAAGTTAGCAAAAGACCATCCTGAGTTAATAGCTTTGGGGGAATCATCATCCTCTTTAGGAGGAATCAAAAACTGCCGAGAATTAATTGAACAAGGGCTCCCAAATGAGACATTTTCTATGGATTCTGGAGAATCTGGACATCCTTTATTCCAGGAGGATGTGTTCACTTGTGGTCTATAGCCTGCAACCTTGTCTGAGTCCTCTTCTGTCATTGATGTTTCCTCCAACTTTCTTAAACTATTAACTGCAAGTTGCATTTGTGGTTTATAGCCTGCTGAAGCCGCAGAGTCAGCTTCTAACTCTTCATTTGGTTTAACTGGAGCTGGATACATTGACTGGACATCAATATAAACAACCTGGGAAGACACTATAGATTCATCCTCTGGTTGATTAGATATGACTTCCTCAATGATTGGTGGACAATAGGAAACCACAATGTGGCTCCCTGATTCAGATTCAAAGCTATCTTCAAGAAGCTCTTCCATAACAGGTGATGTAATGGCTGTGTCTTCAATCTTCACACCCTGGGACTGTGTTTCAACCACTTCAATGTTGTTGGGAGTACATGGGTTCATCTCCAAGGTTTTAGAATTAGCGTTCCCCTACAATCAGAAAACAAAAGAAGCTTAGAATACTCAGCCCTTGAAAATGTAAAGAAACTGCATTATTCTGGAGTGGAAGGAAACTTATATAACTTTTCTTTTTATTGATTTGTCTTTCTTTTTTTAAAAAATTAATTCCTTATTCTTACATGAATATTTTATTTTAACTTCCAGTGCTGGAAAGAGATTCCAGAAATGTTCCAGAGTCTTGGACAATGCTGACTAAATATTGTAAATTCCACATCATCAACTACCAGACCCGGGACTTTATTTTCCTCCAAGCCAGGTAATGGTCAAAGGCTGAAGGCTGCTTTACACCATAAACACCAAAGCAGTATGACATACTACTAAACCAAGAATGCTGCTCAGATTTTCATAAACCTGGGCATTCCCTGCAAATAAGATCTAAGTTAAGTGACAAAAAAGTGTAAAGTACTTACCATATATACTCGCAGATAAGCTGAGAATGTTAGGCTCACAATACTCCCCAAAAATTGGGTTCACATTTTCTATGGGCTTATCCGCGAGTATATACGGTAATACATTTTAAAAATACCCATATATACCCGCCGATAAGCCGAAAATTTAAAATGGAAACTGTTCTGGAAAACAACATTTATTGATAGAAAATATGAAAACAAATAAAGTCCTTCAGAATATATTGGGGGGGAAAATGAAAATGTCAAAGGTTGGCTTATTCATGAGTGGTGCATTTTTCATGGTATTTTGGTTAAAAATCTGAGGGTTGTCTTATCCACAGATGGGCTTATCTGTGAGTATATATGGTGATAAAACTTGTGCACTTCATCTAGGCATTTTGTAAGCTGAAACAAGCAACACTTAAATAGAGGTTTTTAAAACTAAAACCATCACCAACCCAGTGCTCCTGTTCATTGCATAAAAGTGGGCTTACTTGATTCTGGACAAAGAAAAACAGAATATAAAGCACAACAGCCATTGTCTATTCAAATTTAAAATGACCCTGAAAGGGAAAATGACTTTTATTAAAGATTCAAAGTATTATTTGAAGAAGATCCAGAGATCAATTTTAAAATAGCTTCATATTCAGAAAAAAGAGACAGGCTTTCTCTTTTTTGAAAACTATACTACGTTAACTTGAAGCCAAGTTTAAAAACTATACTATGCTAACTTGAAGCCAAGCTACAATGCATTAATAAAATACATATTTTATGCTTGTGGTGCAAACTTTTTGTGGATCTAAGAATAAAAGGAGTGGGTGGAAGAAAAGAGAATATAGGGATAACAATGAGGAAAAACTTTGGAGAACAGGGAGAAGGGCTGGAACATACCCAAATACATAGGGTACTACATAAACCATAGGGTACTATATAAACCAAATATAAATCAAAATACATTTTTAAAGCAGATTTATCCAGCAGTGAAAAAAATGTTCTACAGATCTCCAAGTTTCCTCTGATTTATTTTACACCAAGCCTTTGTAGCTTATTCCATTTAATGTCATTCCATAGCTATCTATTAGAAGCCACAATGACATGATGTACATCAGTTTTTCTCAACCTCAGCAATTGTAAGATGTGTAGACTTCAACTTCAGCTGCTGGGGGGATTCTGGGAGTTGGTCCACACATCTTAAAATTGCTGAAGTTGAGAACCACTGATGTACATCATGAAGTCATCATGGAAATATGCAAGCAACATCATTTCTGTCACTTGTGCCCATGTACCATCATTACTTCTTGCCCCCTATGGATGCCCATAAATCCTTCAGTTAGTTCTGCCACCAACTCATTCCTCCAAGAGCTGAAGCCACTTTTTTCAGTCCTTGTATTCATGCTCAATCTCAGGTGAAGAAACACAACATCCTTCCACTCTCAAAGTGAGAGATTTTCTCTACCTTTCCCTCCCCCACCCTCACCCCATCAACCAGCATTTTTATGAGCTTACTGAATGGTAAAATAGAATAGATTACCTCTGAATCCCTAGCGAAATCCAAAGCTTTTGAGTGTTCTGGGTTTGGAATATCAGGATAGAAGATTTCCTTAATCCTTTTGAGATAAGAGAAACGATGTTAGTTTATTAGTTAGTTAGTTGCCACCAAACCCTCCTAAAATATGTATTCTCAATATCAAAATGAGACTCATTTTTTCCCTTCCTGTTTTTTCTCACAGTATCAACGACTCATTAAAAATGCCCTCCC